GTTGTGTTTCAAAGGGTCTGCGCGCTTCCATATTTGTTGGTGATATGTCATTGTTTTGAGCATTTTGCTTTAACAAAACAAACGTCCCAAAGCATCCAAGGCATCTGTGTGCCATGACATGTGACAGGTATCTCTTCAAAACACCCGAACATCCAATCATCCCACTATCTACACAGTCCAAGCACCCCAAGCTTCACTGAGGAGCTACCACAGCGCGCAACCAACCGCATGGCCCATGGCTCGGTCTGGGGCAGCGACGCAACTCTTCGCTGAAGCTGGTCTGAAGCCTCTGGGCCTCCGGTTCGATGCGGGTCTGTGGATCCCGGACCGGGTGTCAGGCGGGTTTCAAGGGAACCCAAAGCAACGCCACCTGGTGTCAGGCGCTTTGCTCAGCCGCTATTGTTCGGATGCGGCCACGCAGTCTCCAGGTTGGAGGCATGCTTGGCGCGCGTGTCGAGACAGAGCTACCCATGCCTACATTCCAGGAGATGTGCTGCATTCTCGGGGGCATTGCGGGACTTGCCAGTAAGAAGGTCATTGCGAGAGTAAGCCATAGTGCTTGGCCACGAATACGCGGGTTGCAATCCTGAAGCCCTCCAACTAGGCAACGTAGTGCTGGAAAGTATGCCAACGCGGCCTCGTGGCAAGAGACTGAATGTCTATGTTGTTGACACGGAATAAGGTCTAAACAAGTGCGAGAAAGACATAATCCGGGCACTGATTCTTTGGCCTTGATTCCTTTATGTAAAATGTCAAATCTTGTGACCCTGCACCAGGCTTGGCATGCCATGCTATTTCCCTGGATATCGGTTGGGCTGCAACACTATGGTTAAAAACAAACTCAATAGACACACTACCAAAAAGGATGATTCGGGCATGAGCTCGCCACGAGTTGCGCAGATTGAGGAGAACACCCAAGCAAAGAAACACATTCAGGTCTGTGGCCAAGGGGTCGACCAATGATGCGGAATCAAGCACCAAGCCACAGGGAACCTGACGAAGGGAAGGCTCCTGGAAAAGAATTTGCCTCAGGGTTTGGGTGTGGAGCAGAAATACTCGCCTAGGGCAGGCAAATAAGCTGAAAGCTCAAATACTTTTGGAGCCGTGACTACAAAACGAACCAAAGGCGGGAATCCGCTTTGGATGAGCAAGGTGAGGCCCCCGTTTCCTTTTGGAGCTACGGTCGGAATATGAGGTTACCTCAAAGAAAACGGACAATTGTACTGGATTGTTTGGAGATGGGTATGTCTGAATATGGGCGACGGGCCACCAAAATCTTATCATGCCCTTGGTTGCCGAGCAGATATGCAGCGCTATGCACGCGAACATGAGCAGGTGCTCTTTTCATTGGACAAGGACATATGCAGTGCTGCGCGCACTCAAGCGGGTGTTATGCAATGCAGTGCTGCGCGGGTGCGCTTGAGCCGGTGTCCTTATCATTTGGCAAGGACATACGCAGTGCTGCGCGGGTGCACTTGAGCGGGTGTTCTTACCATTTGGCAAGCAAGTAGCTGCGCGAGTGCGCCTGAGCGGGTGTTCTTGTCATTTGGTAACGAGATACGCAATGCTGCGCACTTAAGCGGATGTTTTTGTCATTATGCAAGGAGATATGCAGTGCTGCACGCGCAGTTGAGCGGGTGTTATGCAGTGCTGCGCAGGTGGTGCACTTGCGCGGGTGATGTTTAATCATTTGGCAAGCACATATGCAGTACAGAACAGGTGCGCTTGAGCGGGTGTTTTAGGCAAACGTGCAGTGCTTGAGCGGGTGCACTTGAGCTGCTCCGGTTCGGGCCGACTAAGTTTGCCACTCCGGGTAACCAAGCTTCAGCATTGGGGCCCCAAGCTTCTCAAGCGAGTTGCTGAATCGCGGCAAGTGTCTCAACTTGGTTGACGTTGGAAGGGGAGCAAGCATTTGAATTTAGCAGTTAAGTGGGGATTTCCCACTAAACCACAATAAGCAAAAATGTAAAATGTTTCCCAATACAAACCATGTCAATTGGTCACAGTGTTCCCACAAGGATCCACACCCATCTGACGTCGAGGTGCTATGTGCTGCATCTCCGACACCAGAGCGGCGCTCATCTCGCGGAACAAGACTTCGGTGCGGCTCTCGAACTGCATCCTGCGGGACAATCGCTGGTTCTCAGTAGGGGATGGTTCAAGGGTTTTGGGAAAGAAACGTGTGGGATCCCTTTAAAGGCAAACCACAAGAAATGGATCAGTCCCGGCTCATTCTATGTCGCTAACGCTAAACTCCGAGAAGGTGGACACAAATCGGGTCAGTATTGCAAACACCTGAGATTAGGACATGGGTCTGTTGGGGTTCGGGCTTGCAAAACAAATGTTTTCTCCACCTTCGGGTGGCGAAATGCGTTCCATGTCCAGAAGGCACCACGGCGTTTGTCGTTTAGCACGCAGGAGCAAGTCCCCTTTTCTTGTTCAAATCACCCGCTTGAAATGCTTCTTGCCCTGTCCAGCCAACCACAAAATGCCGCTGCACTCTCTGAGGAGGGCGACACGGCCAAGCTGCAGTTGCAGCTTTGAACATCAAGTCCCTGGATCTATGGTAGACTTGCGAATGTTAAGTTTCACGCTAGGCCTTGCCGTCGTCGCCACCTTTCCGTGGAGACGAAATATGTTTGGAGGCATCCCAACCCTCCAACCTGTCTGGCAACCCCTTGTCATTGTTGAAACATGCTCACCTACTATTAATCTCCTTTTGGCTCCGGACAAGGCCAAGTCGTTTACGCAACTATCACCCAAGCAAGACTGGAACCCTTTGTGGCAAAGGCCCTGCCTGGCAGGAGCAGCGAGTCGCCAGTCTCGGTGAGGATGTTCTAAGCCATAAGAACCAATTCAGCTGCGGGTCGCGAGAGCCATCGGCCGAAGTCTGTCAGGGGTTCTCCCAAAAGTCGATGCATGTCACAAAGAGATTCCTCCATTGTCTGGTGCTTTCCCTTGAGATTCCATTTACGGGGTTCACTAGCTTAAGACAAGCCCTGTTGGTGGCAAGGAAGGTCTGCTAAGTGATGAGTAACCGGTTCCAACAAATTCCCGCAGAGAAGAAGCTGGTTCACTAGTCACTAACCACTTACCCAACCTCGGAAAAGCAAATGTAACGACTTGGAAAAAACAAGTTCGATGCGGCTTTTCGCCTTGCGCGTGCCTGGTGGATCCAATTGTAGCCTCCAGGTGTTGTACAGGGTTTCCCTGGCTACCTATTATGCGGGCAACTGTCGGCTGGGTATCTTTTTGACTTGTATATCTACCCGGAGAAACACACATGATCAAGGGCAGCATGGGACCCAGGCCACAGACAAGCAGTGCAAGAATAAGGAACAATTTCCATCTCGAAATGGAATGACCCCTTTGTGGATGATTCGAAAGGAAAGTGACACCATGCGACTCCCACCAACTAGATGAAGACCACAAGCTTGAAATCCGTTTATGGACGGGTGTCAAAGGAAAACCAAAAGGAAACCGCCTGCAAAGGCGGTCATGGAGCTTGGGGAGGTTTGAGAAGCCCTCCCATAGCCCCACGGCATCAGTCACGTGCCTTTCCCGGCGAGGCAACCAGGCAGTAGAAAGGCAACCCGTGCGGCTTGGTGCGGTTTCATTCAGCAGCCAAGGACCCCCTCCCAACAAAACATAAAGAACACATCGCGTTCGAAGAGCCCCATTCAAGCTACCTGTTCATTGTTCAGTGGTTTGGAAACCTGCTTGCACTGCGTTGCACGATCAAATAGAACACCAGTCACCGATCCAGCTTGGTATGGCCAACAACCCATGGCATGATGCGAACAGACATGAAGCCCAGTCCTTGGAAACTTGCACATGGTTAAGAAATAAGCCCTTGCCGGTTGTAGGTTGTACGAAAGTGGGCTAGCCATGTGGTGATTCTCTCACTTTCAAGTGGCCCCGAAAACCGTGTGCCCTATCAAACAACCAACCAACCAACTAACCAGCCAGCCAGCCAGCCAGCCAGCCGACCGACCGACCGATCGACCGACCGACCGACTGACCAGTCGACCGACCGACCGACAAGCCCAATCCCCTATGCTTCCAAATCCTATGTAAAAAATAGGCGTTGTGACAACCCCGGTTTTTTGACAAAGACTATTTTTTGACGACGAGCGGCCGCCTCCGTTTTGGACTGGAACAAGGGCGAGGAAAGACTTGACGCTAAGGCCGCTCCATAGAATCCCGAAGCCGAGTATGTATATACATATTTCACTATTTACAAAGCTAATGTTGGTCTCTATGTCGCTTGGTTTCTTGGCATGGCCATGTAGCGCGCGAAGGTGAACCCTCCTTCTTCTGGCCCACCCCCTTAACCAAACCAAAAAAAACAGGGACAGCCAACACCCCTCCCATCACAGCAACCATTCCAGGATGAGGATGTTGATCCTCTGGTCGGCAAAATTTGCCTGTTCTACTCCACAAAATGGCGGCCAACAAATAGTGGTTCTACGCCAACAAATAGTGGTTCAACGCCAAAAAATAGTGTTTCTACGGTTTTTCTATGGTTTTTCTACGGTTTGTCTACGCTCGCGTTGTTTTTGGACCTGTGTGGAAATTGGATCGGAAAAAAGCAGCACACAATTACTTGTTCGTGCCACCTGCACAAATTGCAGAGGACAATTCTACTATTTGCTAGAATGAAGGCTCTGCCTACGCAAAGCTTTCAGCAGGTGCGTTGCGCAGACACAAAAGGGACCCGAGGACCCTATCAAGAAGTAGTAATTTAACTTTGCTGGCAGAGAAATATGTGGCTCCCAAGGCTATTTAAGAGGTTGCAGTAGCAGGCGTAGCTTTCAATCAAAAAAGTAACAACCCAAAATGAACTCCAAAGGCCAATGTCAAAAAATAGGGGTTGTCAATGCAAAAAATAGGGGTTGAACAACCCCTATTTAAAAAATCGTCGAGGAAGCATAGGGAATCGTCATCTGCTCGGATCGGTTTGGAATGTGGCCAACTTGGCATAACGGCAGCGCCAGCTCCTCGTACTTCATGTTCCGTTCCTTCTCCTCTTCTAGCTTGGCGCACAGAGATCGGCTGTCTTCCAACTGGCGATCGGCGAGTCAGTAGCAACAGAATCGGCGCTCGAGAACCCAGACCTCGAGTGGATTTCCAGGGGGAAAAGGGCACGTTTGTCTTGGGACTAGGTTTTAAGGGGGAACCTCCTCCAAAAAAAGGGGAAAAGGTAATTAACACTTACCACTCACTGGGGGTCTGGGTCGTCCCCGGTGTACCGGAATTCGTGCAGATGCATGGGTGCTGACGTTAATGAAACAGCGGGCGAGATTGACCATGAGAAACAAAGTCAACCAAGATTCTTCCTTGTCAGGGAAACTCAGAGCAGCTGCGATGCTAAGTGGCTAATCTGGGCAGTCTGAGGCAAACACATTTGCTATCATCTGTTGATACGTTCTCTTGGCTTGCCTATAGCGTTTCCTTTCAGCACCATCCACCTTTTTGAGGTCCGATGATTTAGGCAATGTTTTATTTGTAAACAAAGCATCCCAGTTTAGGCAAGGTGATTACATGTTGGGTGAACATGATCGAAGGAGGCTGCCAAAGCAAGCAAGGGTCTGAGTTCACCCTGATGCAAAGCCGAAATAGGACCTATTACCAGAGAATCCACACGGTTTAGATTTTGAGGGCGAACAACAACATGATGCCACCACATGGACACCATCTGGCTGAGTGTTTCATTTTGGCGCACACACAACAGACACCTGTCAGATCATTTCGAAAGGCGGTTCAATGGACGACAGCCCAACCTTGACTCAAAGACTAAGGCTAGCGTAACTAAATCAACAGCTCTGAATGCAACTCATTGCTCCGGCCTGCTTCTCCAAATCCAGGATCTCATCATCCTTCTGCTTGATCTGGGCCTAAGCCAACGAAAGGGCAGTTCACTCTGGCGTCAATACTCCATCTCCACTAAAGCCCTATGGTTGGGACGTGCGGGAAGTGGATGCACATGTTCGCCCTGCGAACATGTCTGTGCCTATGTGCCAGGGTGATCCATATCCTGGCCTGCAAATATCACCATTGAAAGGCTACGAGACAGCCGTAAGTATAAAGAATCAGAAGTCTCGACCATGACACGGAGCATGTTTATCTTAAGGAATGCTCAGCCTTTGAGGACACTTGACATACACGCCCGCCCTGGATCTCGGATGTAGATGACGTCTCAAATAATATATATATATATTTATTTATATGTAATCATATATGCTTGTTTGAGGGTGGCCTTTCGGGACTGTCTTGATGGGCAACATCGAAACACCCATTTGAGGGATCCCCATTGGCAGCCCAAACCAAATTCAAGCCAAACGTGTGAGTGCCGCGCTTGCATACAGAAGGTTCTCCACTCGCATGCTAGTATGCTTGGGCCATCGGTTGCCGAGCCGGAGAGTGTCACTTTGATGTCATACATGAGCTTCGGTCAAAATTACTTGTTCCCCCAAGAGAGCATGATAAATTTGGAGCTCGCTTGGTTTTCGCGGGGCATTTCTCTATGCCTCATGGGCACCCCATGGTGGACATCCATCATTTTATCTACATTCGTATTGCCATGTTCCATTTTGCCTTGATGTCTGGGGCCGCCCGAGCATTCGAACCCCTCAACATTTCGCTGGGGCAGGGGCAGCTTCTTCATGTGCGCGCGTCTCTGAGCGCCGTCTCTTCGCCTCTGCAGCGGCGGCGGCTTTGGGATTGTCTAGCCACGAGCAACGTAACCAAACGAAACGAAAAAGGGGTTCTGGATGTGACACTGCCGCATGAAGTTCACCTCTGAGCATCCACATGACAACTGAAACATCCCATTTCTAAAGTTGGCTCTCCTGCAGGAATCCCTCGAAGGTGGGTACATGCACGGGGAAGTTCAGCAGGGTGGACCTTACGCCAGTCAATGGGAAATGATGGAAGTTCAAACATGCGGACCGCCAAAATGGCAAAGGCTTCGTCCCTCAAATGGGCGCCAACCATGAGACTACTTACCCACTGGCAAATCAATTCCTGCCGAAGCAGTTTGTTCACAAGAGCACGATTTCAGGCCGAGCTGTTGGCATAGCTTCGCAGTCCAGCTGCTCAATAAGGCAACCGCACGGCGCAAGAAGTCCAGTCCGTTACAAAGGCAAACCCAAACAAACCGGGACGTCGCTGTCCATGATACCTTTGACGTAGGACTCAAGGTTATGTACAGCTGCACACCAGAGTGGGGCCAATCCCTTGTTCAAACGTGATAAACAACCATGGTTTGATACACTCTCCTGTTGGTCGCCCCATGCTGCACACCTGCCAAATGAGTGTATCAGATGTGGCCTCGTTGTCTTGCAGGAACTTGTTGAACTGCACCAACTGGCTCTGGAGTTTTAAGTCCTGGAAGCACGGCGGATGGTGGGAGTCGCAAGCAAATGATGTCAGCTAGGGCTCAGAAGGGCAGCTGTTGCAAGAAAGTGCTGTTGCCTCTGCCCAACGAGTGAAGGTTCCCGATTGGTGTTCATGATGGTGCAAGTTGCCCTACTATGCTACCGACTGAAACTGTACTGGTCTTGCTCACAATCGCCACTAAAAGTCATTGACACTTGGGACAATCGGGGCCCAAAATCGTCCGACAAGGGGACACCTGGAAGCAGCGCACAGGACGTCGGCCTGAGCATAGGTGTCCTTTTAGGGGAAATAGATGCCCCTGGCCTGGTGGATGATTAAACCACCAGGTAAACCAGGGCCATCTATTTTGCGAGCAACACAACCAAAAAGGGCACCTATGGGCCTGAGTCAAAGATCAATCTGTCCGGTTGCCAGCATGATGAACCAGCTCTGCCTACATGCCCCGAGCGCGGCTGAGAGCTGCGTCCCCGAGTCCTGGGTCCGGAGCTCCTCTTCCTTTTTCCGGAACTGGTCTTCCTCCTTGGCGAAGCGCGCCTGCGCGAGCGGCAGGAGAAACCCACCCACCCGCGGGGGTTTGACATGGGGAAGCCTGAGGGATGCTCTGCTTGTTTGTTGTCAAGCCGATCCAACAAAAACGGTACCTTGCAAAGAAGACACGCCCATGTGGCTTTCAGAGAAACTTGGCAAGTGACACAGCGGGTTCCCTTTAAGCAGCCGCAAAAACACGAAATAGTTCTCCAAAATTTGGTAAAGTTTCCTGTGGTTTTCCCTTTCCACCCCATCCATTGGCTGCTCAAGATGCTGGCTGTCCCAGAACGACTTTGACTCTGTTCCAGGGTCTGGCTTTCATGACGAAACCGGCGGCACAAACCTGGTCAATCTGATTGTCTTGCCAGCTGGCGAAAATGATTGGTGGCGATGAACATTTATCCATCCTTCTGATCAAAGACGGGTTGGACTAAATCCGGGATGCATGGACTGACAGTTGCACATCATGGTGCTGTTACTGTTGCTGTACTGACTGCAATTGCCCAAGACACCAGTCGACTTTGTGGTTGCCACATTTGTGGATCCCACCCGTTCAAAAAAATACTCGTGCTTTTCGTTCTGAGCGACGGCAACTGTCTAGGGCAAACATCTCGCGTCCTTGCAGGTATACCCCTAAAAGTGTTCCCAAACGTACCAGAATTTCATGCCCCATATTTGGCCAGATATCGCTATATATATAAGTATTTACACATTGATATGGGATGGAAGGTATTTAGTCTGGGACCACTTTTCCTTGCAACTGGTCACAAAGCCGTCACACCCGCAGCCTTCTGATTGTCTAAAGCATCCTGCACCTCGTACCTGGGCAATGCAGCGAGGCACCGGGCTGTGCTTGCTTTACATTTCTCACAAAACCCACCGGTCAGATTTTATGGCGAGGTGGAAAGGTTTGTCCAGAACCAGCTGCTCAGTGGCCCTGGTAAAAAGAAATCGGAGTTCCTCAAAGGAGTCCCACAAGGGATGGTTCAGTTGGGAGTCATTGCAACCCCTTCCCGCTAAGAACAAGCAAAGATTTGAATGTAAACAAAGAACCACTCCCCAAAAAACAAGAAAGATGTCCCGAGATGTCCCGAGTCCCCGGCATCTGACGTCGCTTCTCCAAGAGGCGCGTGGCAGGGTTGACATTGTCGAAGAAGAGCTGCTGCCTGAGTTCTGCTGTCGGCTGGCTGCCTAGCTGCGTGGGGAGCCACGCTCTTTGCTGTTGGCTAGGTTGGCTAGTTCCGAAAGATGAAGATGAAGTGACGTGCAACATGTGTTGTTTCGCAAAATTGCTTGATGTCAACAAATGGGACACCTTAGTTGGAATCCCTCCCCCAAGTAGTAAGAATAGATGCTTCCAAAACAAGTGATGCCTAAACAAAACTAGGTGGCCCTAAAAAATAGGTGACCACACATTTTTTGTACAAGTTTGCATCCAACCTCAGGTATTGCTGGGAAATGCGGAATCGAGCTTACTTTCGCTGTAAAAAAGCAATATGAAATTTGGATACATCTAGACTCCATCTTTGACACGCGAGCCAAAATGGCGCCATAGCCCACTTTTGCAATTGGGAGGAGAGGGGATGCTACACTTCATTCACAAGTTCACTGGGAACAAAAACAATCAAACCTGCCCTTCAAACTTGGCGCTTTGGCAACTGTTTCAGCCAATTTTGTCCAAGTTGCCAATTTTCGGGTAGAAGTAAGCATAAGCAATCAGCTCATGCATCAGCTAACAAAAAGCAATACTCTACGTGCCCCTGTTGACAGCAGACACCAACAACTGGCGTCGTGGGAGGCTCTTGATTTGGCCACGTGCCTGAACACTCACATTTTATAAGGCTGTCAACAGACATGGGCCATGTTTGTATGAATATATATATATAGGTGTGGCTTCCCACTAAAGTCCAGTCATTTCAAACCGCTTTAGGTGAACGATTTATGTTCGCACGGTTTATCTCAAACACTTTATGGTGACTGTTGGCTCAATCAGGTCACCGGTCGAAATCCTTGCCAGGTGAACATGTGGCCTGGCAAAGAGATAAGTATTAATCTCCTTAAACGATCAGTCCACCTGGCCCAGCTGTAGAGAGGTGAAATACTCTTGGACCTGAGATGGGGGTTTCCCTAATTCTGGCCATGGTCCCAAAAGTATCTATCCACCAGAGATACAGCACAGAAACGACCCCTAGTCCCTTTTTTGTGGAGAAATGGTTCAAGGAAGTGTTCTTTGATCTTCCAGTTGTCCCGGTTGTTTTCCTGTGATCTTCCTGGCTCAGCTCAACGCTAAAACCTCCGTTAGCACTCCAGAAACCCACGCCTAAGCCAGCAAAACCAGGCATGTCGCATTTTCCCAGTGACGAACCGCCGGTGGCTGTCTCGTGCGAAGCCGGCGGCTCAGGCGCCGGCGGATGCTTTGGGATGGCGCCTGGAATCTCAAGACAGGAGCGCGCAGCATCCCTGGATGGCACTCCGCCTTTTGGAGGTCCCACACCCTCCAATAGAGGTCCTTGCCCTTCAATGGAGGGTCCAATAATGCTTGAGAGGGGGGTCATTTGTCACTTTTGGGCCACTAAACCAAGAGGGCTACGCTAAAGAAAGCAACAGTTTGTTCAAGCAACAGTTTGTATGTTGCCACCTGTTGGAGTCACGAGTTGTGGCATAGCCTCCAAGTATTGAATTGAAGCTGGATGTTTTGGGGGCCATGACTAATTTCCAACAAGGTAGTTTAAAGCAATCACCCACGCCAAATAAAGGGTCCTCATCTAGCAAGTAACAAGCGGGTATCTTCTGGCCATGGCTGGCAATTGGTCACCAATCTGGGCGAATCAATCTGGTTGAACCAATCTGGGCAATGTCACCAACTTCATCCCGAAGAAATGAAGCTTCGTAGGCCAGGTAGCTTTAATGCGCCAGTGCCCCAAAGCTTGAAAAAGTGAACCAAAGGGGCCCAATGAGACCTCAACCGAAGCGCAGATTTGCCAACTCGACCACTTCACTTCTCCAAAACGATCAACAAGGCCACGCATGGAGCGTGGTGCCTCTGGTGGCCTTGGTAGACAAAGTGCGGACTGGAATCTACAATTATATACTGTTAATCCAGGTGGTTAGGAGTTCTCACCCATACAAATACTTTGGTTTGTCAGCTAATGTAGCCTGAAAGGTCCCAAGATGTCCCAAGTCCCAAACACCCAACATCAGGAATAGTTCAGCGAAGACTCGCTCCATGAACAAGTCAAGCACCGGTGAAGTCACCCCCTTGAATGCAACAAGAATCACTGTGTGACCGAAAACACAGCCTCATAAAACCCCAATGCACTCGAATCGGTTCTTTTGAGAAGAATTTGCAATTTGAACCAAACTTGCTGTGCTTCTCAGAAGCATCGTAGAAATTGATTTCGGCTAGAACGGAGTCTCTTTGCTCTTTGTGGGGATGACACCTCTCCATGCTTTCAGCGCACAAACCCTTCAGCCTCGGTCGGCGTCCAGGGCCGCCATGAGTCCTGAAAAAAAGTCTGTCCAGTTGCCACTACTGTTGATTATGACTAGGTGTGGTTGGCCTCAAAATACCACCCCAAGGGCATGTGGAACAAGTTCCTAGTGCTAACACGCTGCCTCATTCAAGCCATGGCCACGGTCGAAGTAGTTCTTCTCTTAAGGCCTGCTTGCGCAGTCACAGCACATGTTGGGAGGTGTTGCATGTGTTGCTGTTCTTCAGCATTCATTGTTGTGAATGAAGACTGGCACACACACACACACAAACACAGGGATCACGCTACCACTAGCAAACGGAAATCACAAGTGCTGCAGATCAAGCTGCGCAGGGATTTCTTTCAGCATGGACACGAGGGCAAAGCTTTGCACATCGACGTGTGGTGGTGCCCGTAGCGTCACCGCGTTTCATGCAAACAAACGGTGCTAACCAGAATGTGGGTGATCCCATCAGTGATCCTTCCAAATTTGTTGAATGCGACCCGGACCTCGAGGGTTGCTTATAGGTTGTCCTTGCCACCCCGGACCGAAACCAATTTTTGAAGGGTTTCATAGGAAGCACCGGGGGGGGGGGGGATATCCTGACTCAGATTACCACATTGCCAACGCAACTCAGCACCCTGCCGTTTCCCCCGTCCCTCCTCAGCCCTCAGGCGGCCGGCCCACTTCGGGGCTCCCTTCTCTGTATCTTGAGCTGAATCATACGCCACGCGCCCCGAGGGCCGTTGGGGCAGGTCACGGATTGGCCAAGAGTAGAGTCCAAACCAATTTCAGTAGGCCTATAGTACCGAAAGCAAGGATCTCCTGGCAGAATTCGGGTGCACCGATTTCTGGCTAGAACAGTCCCTTGCTAATTACTAGCCCCGCGCCGCTTGCGAACTCTAGGCGGGTTGCGAATGGGGTGGCTCTCAAGAGAGCACATCAAATGGCAAACCGTCGAAAATTACACAGCAAATCTGAGCCTGGCACCACCGCACACAGAACATGCCTCACCTTGAAACCGGATTTGTCCGCCTGCTTTCCAATGACTGCCGAACACCCCGCTCCGCAGCTGTTCGCCCCAACCTGATACGTTTGATTATGTTCCCTGTTTACTTGCTGGTTCCAGGTACAGAGTTTTGAGTAGTTTGGGCATGAGCCTAGGGTTCCCCGGAAATGAAACGACAAGGGACAGGATGTTTCTTCTCGGCGTCATTCCCTCATTTCCTGATCTGCAAGTTTAGACTTCATCAAACAAAAGGAAGACATAGGAAGACAAACAAAAGGAAGACGGGCTTAGGAAGGCCAATGGAAGAGAAACAAACTATATTCCGAGTCGCGAGCGCTCATTTTGTCACTTGTCAGCTCGCCGGACGGCTTTCCCGCGGATTCGCAGCAGCCGGCCCCTGGCATGGGCGATTCGATTCGAGGTTTGCATCTGCGAGCGGAATGAAGGAACTCGGCTGACCAACCTGGGAGTGTTTTTGTTTGATGGACCCCACTTGGAGTTGTTTTGATTTTGAGGTTCCTACATTTCAAGGCAATTCCGCTTAGAACATGGTTCATAACCCCGGCCACTAGTCCCGCATAAGTGGGGTAAATCCAATTGGGACTTGTGAACCAGGGTTAGCCCCGTGCCCAAGAGAGAACCGAGCCAAATCCAGACATCCGGACCTCGGGGCCTTCAAGTCTGGAAGCGAACCTGCCCCAAGCGCATGTTTCAGAAACTCGCCACGCCTACACCGTACGTCTCAGAGAGCAAGCTCGGGATGTTATGCAACAATTGACCAGTGCAGTCCTTGCCTTGGGGCTGTCTGATAGACTTGAAACACCTCCCTTTGTTGGCGTACATGTAAAATTGCAAATCCGTCGGTCAAAGCCGTGCAGCACCGGGAACCAACCTGACGACATATTGCTCCAACTCAAATCTGGCAAGGGTCGCCGGCATTGCCAGCATCAACCAACTGCCAATCTTCACGATGTGCTTAAGTGTGGGCATGGCAAATCGGGCAGTCCTCAACATGACGTATGTTCGGTTGCCACGAATTCCCCCGAAGCAAAGCTTGGGCAGTCGTCCACATGATGTCTGTTCGGATGGCCTGGCAAAAGATCCCACACGATTCCTCTGTTGTAAAGCTTGGACAAGTGGTCTCCTCCACATTTTGGGGAAACTTATGACGCTTGTTGGACGCCCTAAAAGGTAGGCCTCCAAAGGGTGCTCTAAATACTTCAAAGGCTGGGTTTGGAGGAGTGAGCAAAATAGCGCTAGCTTCAGAACCAAATAGGCAAGCGACAAATCCCTTCACAATCCGATCAGCAGAGTTCCTCATATTCAATGCCTGTTGAATCATTGCCCCACAAGGACACTCATGTTAAAATTGACAATCAGAACACGTAGTTGACATCACACTGAAGAGAAAATGTAAGGATCCCCGAACGGCGAAGGAATCCTCGCGCCTGACAGGCCCTAAGCATTAACGCGCGATTGCCCGCGCTGGTTCTTGATGCAGCCACCTCAGCATCACGCCGTAGCCATGAAGGAAACCGTATATTGGGTGTGTCATCGAACAAAAGAGAACCATTAGGTAAACTTACCCATTCCATCTATTTCGCCAAACGGATGCAACATGACATGTGCCAAGAGGGCACGGGGGCGTCCCGAACACCAACAGGCCCGTACCCCGTACCCACGTCAGGCACCCTCCACCTCTCGAAACAAAGGCCCCAAATCGAACGAGCGCCTACTTTTGAACCATATCAAAACCGGACAGAGCGATGTGTGCAAACAGAATGATAGCACAAACAGAATGGGGAGTTTGCCCGGCGGAGCCCTATTTCATCATTCTGTGCCCAACTTTTCACCTCGACAGGGATAGCAAAAGCGGGGGAGCGGGGGTGGGAAACAACGGACCCCGGAGGGGACACCGAACTTCCAAAATGGAACAGAACGATGCTATGGAACAGAACGATGAGTGTGGAACAGAACTATGCATCTGGACCATCTGATCCACCAGCTGAGGGAACATAACGATGCTTGTACTGAGTACGTGATTGAAAAAGAAGGGGTACTGCAAGGATAGACATATGCTGCAAGTAGCATGAGCGCGCTTGAAAACTGGGCGAATTCTTACTTAATTCACCAATACTAAAATAACGGAGCCCCTATGAAGGAGCTTGCATCAGGAAGGTCGCAAATCGAGTTTGTGTGTCGGAAAGCGAGCACCGAGTGCCGGGCTTTGCAGCACCTGAAATATGCACTACCTGGCCGCAAAAATATTTCCCTCTAACCCCCACAACTTTTTATTTTCATTAAAATCAGAAATAAAACAACGCAGCCCCCTGTTGAAAAAGATTGGTTTACTATTCGTATAGCGGCTATATATGCATATATTCTTTGTGATGGACTTGTTTGCTCTATTTGCTCTGGGGGAATGTGGTTTGGTGTGGTGGACATCATCTCAGACAGCGAGTTCCGGGACCAGTACCCACGACACCAAGAGGCGATCGATGTGAACTGATTTTTGAGGATGGCCGTACACATCAAAGGGTTCTGGTGAGATGAACTCTTCCCTCAGCAGAAGGGACAGCATCTCCGGTTGACGGAATTACAAGCTTCTTCTAGCGGCTGGAAACGATTTAGGGGACGTTTCTCGCAGTCAGAATTCGCGGTTCCCCCGATGACTGAATCAACCCCTCAGCTTTTGTGGGCGATTCAGTGTCGGCCATGTCCCTGCCAAATGCAGGTAACCAGCGGGAACGGCGCCTGTTCACCTACACGGCGGACCAAAGGACCACACAATGGCTCCCAGAACTCCCGTGGTAGCAACCAACAAGGTCATTGTCAGAAAACGCGGAGAATCAAGAGTCCTGCATCTCCCTGTCTACAAGGGAGGTGGGCCTTGCAAATGTCAAGAAGTCAAAAGCTAAGTCTTTCGCCAGTCTTTCGACAAGTCCATCGCAAGCCCGCAAGCCCACACAAATCTAGAACACGGTGGTCCTCTGCTTTAGCCCTACCAATCCACTGTGAAGCCCGCAAGGCTTGCAGCACCCACGGCTGGCCTAAGCTACCCTCCCACCAACTAAGATGGAAGTGCGCAAAGCCCCTTTCCAAAAGGAAAGTCGTCTTTGTACAGGGGCTTTGTGCACTTCCATGTTAGTCGGTATCTTGGCATGTGCTCTGATCCTTTCCACCCCAAAACCATCAAAGGGTACCAAGGGACCATCTGCGAGCTCATTGACCAAATTATTGTTGTTAGTTGCTACCGAATTAAGGGGAGCTGGTTTTAACTACTGGCGAAGCAACTAACACGGTCAAACAGGATGCCCCTTTCAAAAGTTGCAGTGTACCGCTAGGTTTTCAAGTCACTGCCACCTTTTGGGAGGTCGGACATTGGGCAAGCAGTTGTGGATTCTTCGGCAAACATCATTCACAACCAAACCAAACATGAAGCCTGACCGAACCCTAGCCTTCCTCAAGCAGATTGCTCTAACCACGGATCGTTTTGTTGGGTTCCATGTCACTCCAGGTCACCAGGTACACCCAAACGCTCATAGTAACTCTGGCTTCCCTGGAATCACCGGCTTGTGCAGAGCCCACCCGCCACCCCCATCCCACCTCGGTTCCGCGGCTCGGGAGGCGCGCGCCCGCGCGGACTGTTTGGAGTCCCGGGGAGTGGAAGCCCTGGCGATAGAATGTCGCAGATCTCTTTAAGCACCACAGTCGTACTAGACACGCGCCTGGGTCTGGATAGTGTAGGGTGAGACATAGTTGACAGATCTGTTAGGGTCAGACATAGTTTGGACGATCATTAAGTGTTCATATGAGTCACTGTGTCAATTGTTTATCGGGTTCAATCTTCTTAGTTGGTCATGCACACAATGATCAGGCGGTCCCGCAGAAATAGGAGCTGCTCAACTTCATGGAGGAACCAGACCATAAGTCTCCTCAGCCAGCAACCCCTGGTACATGTGTGGGTGTTGGTCACTAGGGCGCTTCGATGGCTTGCTCCATATTGGCTTCCTTCCACACACCCCAAGGGCACAGACAGTTGACACAGAGTCATGTGAGCAACGTCTGGCGTAAGTAGTAAGTAGTCTCGCGGATCCTTGGCTTAAAGTGCTCGGAGTTGGGAGTCAAGCGTGGCACATGGCGTCCGGTTCCTCCCATACCCCCCAAGCCTTCAAGCCTTGGTGCTCTTTTGGAGCAAGCAATCCTTGATTCAGAGTCAGTTCATCAAGCTCCTCGGAGGGCCGATGGGTTGCCATAAATAGGATTCAACCAATTCCCTGCCCCCTTTCGGCCGGAGCCATCACCCCATGGCCTGCTGGAATAGGACTGCTGGCCTCATACGAAAATCCGGGGGTCTGGACAGGATCGGCGAAGCTTCTCTTCCGAAAGTTGGACATCCCCTGTTTTGGATGCTGTACGGGAAGCCAAAACAAACAGCAACAACATTTGTTTCATCAAAACAAACCAATATACGTTCCAGGACTTTGAAATGGAATGGAAAGAAGGCAACCATAGCAAGCTTTGGCTCGCCAGCTTTAGAGCGCTCAGATTGACTTGCTAGGTAGAGGCAACACGCTCCAGGAGCCATCTTCATTTCTGCCTTCCACGCGAAACAGACTCCTCCATTGCTGTGTGTTTCTTTCCGGTGCCCTGGAATTGCATGGCTCGCAAAGCAGTAGAACAGTTGCTTGAGTGGATCGCAGTAAATTGGGTGTTCCCCTCTTTGAATGGCCAACATTGTTGCTACACTCCTATGATCAAGGATCAATATTGTGTTGGCGCAGGATCCACAGTGACATTATGTGACATTGTAGGGTGCACGCTCATCTGAGAGCGCGTGAAACCCATTGAATTGTGGTTCTACCAGTATGATTGCAAAGGTGTATCTATGTCCCACGTATTCTCTGCTTCACTAGCGGTAGAACATTCTGCTGAACTGAAACTGACCGCCAGGAATCGGTTTTGAGGCGCATCTCGCTTTGCACAACGCCAACCTCACCCAATTCCTCTGAAAGAGCTGCCCACCCACCGAAAACCTTGCTAGGCGCCAAGACGGACTGAGTGGCAGGGAAAAGGGGTCTCTCTTTCTGATAATTACTGATTTATAAAGACACCGCCCCAGGACAACTCAGTGAAGCTTGGTAACCAACACATGATGACGAAATCTCCGGCAAGAAGAAACTCGGATTTCCCGGAAAAGTGGTTGACGTACACTGCTTGCTCGAGTTTTGTCTTGGCCATCCGGATTTTCCAAACGATGCAGGCATTTGGACCCCAAAAAGGGGAGCTGGGGCCTGTGGCCAGCGGAAAGACATGGACCACTGACGAAGCCATGACTCATGGAACATGGGACAACCGAGCACCTGGCGCACTGCGGGCAAGGAGAGGTTCTGGGTCTCAGCAACGAATACGGCGAATATGTTGACGACGCCAAATGGGTTCGAACATGAGATATTTCCTTTCAGATGCTACACGCATGATTGAGTTTTTCTTTTGCAAGCGGGAACCCGTTTATCAGAACCGGCTTGGGGTCCGGTCCCCTGAAATATGGTTGTTTCACAACCACTGGAACCTTCTCATCACTGTTTTTCACTCGTCCCATATTTTCGGAAATACATATTCGGCTCGATTCCGAAAAGTAAGAGACAATTGGATAGGCAACGGCACCCTGGTATGGTGCGAACATCCAGTGAACCACTCATGTCGTTTTCGACTGCAACTGGACAGGTAACCTGCAACTGCTTCAACAATCCCCAAAAGCATGAAATCAGAATTGGATCCCGGATCTCCCTAGTCTAGGACCTACATGAACCTACAACGGGGTTACGGGTGAGCTCACCATAAAACAGGAATACAGACCAAGCAAGGTGTGGGGAATGTGGGCGGTGGGCTACAGGTGCCTGTATGCCTATGTTCCTGGGGCATTTGGGACGTCAGTTCATCTTCCCGGCAAATCAGTTCATCTTCCCTGCAAATCTTGGCAGGGCAGGAGAACACTGAGCGCCTTGGATATACCGGCACCAAATCGAAATCGGGATGTAGCACGCAGGGCTCCGCTCAAGAAAAGCCTACGTATATATCAGGTGACTTCACCGTCTTTCCGAATCGAAGGTGCGACGCGATTGTCTTTCTTGAACAGGGCCATTCTTTGCAACCATCACTGGACGGAGTGATCAAAACAACATCAAGCAGAGGCAACCCAGATCCAACGATTTCAACTCCGCTTTGCCTTGACGCAACACCTCACCGACTTGCGTGCGTAGATGTGTTGTCACGTGCTGACCAGGCTCCCGCGGACTCATGCGACATGCGCATGGACGCGTTTCAGATCTGAGCCGCCAACGTTGGACCTCTTTGAACTCATTCTGGACGATCGCGCACCTGGAAACAAGCAACACACTCTGGCAGTTGCTACACATGGACGTGTGTCGAAACGAGGCCACCCTCCCGAAACGAGGCCACCCTCCCAATGTCCACTTTATGCTTGCTTCCCTTGAACAAAAAAAAATAGTTGGCTCTAGTTCTTGTACCACATGGAGGTTTCTCCAAATTAAACGGTGGAGCCCGTTTCGTGCAGTGGTTGAAGGAAACCACTGGATACAGCCCATTTTCGGGGGGCCAATTTTGAGAAACCTCGACATGCATGTGTATATATATATGGCAGCTTCACTGGATTCATAGCTTTCGGACATTGGCCTGACAGCAAGGATCTGAGCCAGCCACTCTGTGAACCAGAGTCTGCCTGCACGCGCGGATAGGATCCGGACAACCAAACAGCCCGGCCGGGGGCACGCAATCAGGCTACCAGGCAACCAGAGATGGATTTGTCATGTCCAAACATGCAGGAGTTTGAGTATCTCTCAATAAGCATGCTTCATTCCAGTCCAATTTAGCGCAATATACGCCAAAAAAGAGCGTCACACGTCCGATCAGATTCCATAATCTGAGTTGCAATTGTTTGGCGCCGATGCGGCAAAGTCGAACGCATCTGTCACGTCAGCTGCAAGCTCCGAAGCAACACTCAACTGCCCAAAGACTTGAACCTTTTTGGACCTTGACCCAACATGGACAAACATAGGGAACCCAAAAGTGAAAACTTGTCCCAACCCCTGGCTACACCAAAACATACTGGTTTCGGGCTCTTCATATTTGGTTAACCTGAACGTTTCAAGATAAACTCGCACAAGACCCCAGCCCCAGCAAGCTTTGTCCACCCCCTTTTTGCATGAAACCGAGAGAGACACCAACCACGACACGAGGGTTCCTCTTTGAGACCGGTCTCCCACCGCCCTGAGGCTGCGGCCGATGCTCTGAGTGTGCGTCGATCTCCTCAAACCCGAGGGCGGCAAAGCTGGGCTCAAGAAAACAGAAGAAAAAAGACACGGATACTGGAATCATGGGCAAACCATTGTGTTATTTGGCTCCATGCTGCTACATAATTGTGTTAAACTGACGAATTCAACTTTCGGAGAATTATCATCCAAAGAACCATGCTGGCCACTGGAATCATTCGCAAAACCTCACAAAGCAGCGAAATCGGTTGGCCTTCCTTCCAACCCCCCATTCAGCCAACCCCAAAAGGCGAAAAGGCGAACAACAGTGTCAACAAGGCACTGTAGCTCTCTTCCTTTCGGCTCAATTTGTAGTCAAACCAGAAATTTCTGTGGATTCCCTTCTGTTTCCCTGTCACTGTAAATCAAACCTCCGGCCTTAGAGGAGGGAAAGCAAACAATGAAATGTTTAACATCTGCGCCCGGAGGCGCAACTCACCACTTCATGCATCACAACACACATCTTCAATGCCGGTGACTGCTCAAATAATTAGACAAAGGCACCTCTGGCGGTTCAAGGTTCAATTTGAGTCAAACCCTGGGAAAACACAAAGTGCTGGGGGCATCCTTTGGCTTTTCTTGAAACCGAAGGGCCCTCAAAAGGCCGCGAGTCCCAAGGCCGCGGCGGACCTGAGTGCGGTCGCGATCCTGCTTCACCTCGTTGTGCAGCGATGGACTCCGAGGGAAAAATGGAAGATATAATGTGCTCAAGAGTTGGGCAATTGGGTGGAAGACTAGTGACCCACCCAGATTTGTCCAAGGCTGCTTCAGTGTCTTTGTTCCCTACCTAGCATGTCTTTCTTGCGGTTGGACCCGTAATGCCTGAGAATACACCTCCAATTCACCAATAGAAACAACATATGTTCTGCTGAACATATGTCAAGCCTTGGAGAAGCATGACTCACCTGTAGCACTATCCGCTGATTGGGACGGCTGATTCTGGTGAACAGGCTGACTCATCTAGAGTCTGCACTGTGCATCAATACCCGCTAGGATAACAAATTGCGTGTGAAAGCTGACATTTGGGCCACTTCTTGCACTCAGCACACACTGGGCATAGCCCACATCAGATCTTGATCAATCATGGGGCAGTAGGCGCAGCCGAGCCCACCAAACCAAAGGGGAGTTGGAGGGCGCGACTGAAACAGGGACAATGCGTATACCCGAACCTGCCAGTCGAAATCATGGTCTTCAAAAAACGACAAACACAAAAGGAATTCAACCTCACATGAGTTTGCTTCGGCAAGTCGACAAATCGCGTGGGCCCCCATTTGACGACTTCGCCTGATAGCCCTAGGGCATCAACTCCTTGATTCCCAATCAACTCCTCGAGGGTGTCTTTTGCTCCAACGCCTTTGAATAATTGGCATCAGAAAGAGTTACCCCACGCTCTTTCAAGTTCAATCAACTCCTCGACTCGGCGAGTGGCTTCTCATCCGTTTCAAACCACCGGCCTTTGAACTTACAAAGCGGTCCATCTGAATCACCCGTTTTCGCCGCGGCCTTGTCACGCGCCGCCTGGCGCAGGCCCTGAGCATCGATGTAGCCGACTTTTTCTCTTTTTTTTTCCCCGAGCCCACAGAGGAGACCAAGCAGCACCCTCCAAGGGTCAATTGGTACCCAAAATGGCTCAAGGGCACTTCAGGTACAAAGATTGTACCCCATTCAATGGAGCCTTGGAGGGTGCTGGAAAAGGAAACTGTTGCCAGGGAGTCTTTGGCAACATGGTACACCGGTACACCCAAGTCATAAATTCAGGTTCATATTTGATCGAATTGACTGCACAAAGTCATCTCGGAGACCCCAGGAACGGTACCGGCTGCGACGAGGAATCATATTGGAAAACCAACAGGTCAAAAGGTCGAATCACTTTCTGATGAGACAATGACCGGACTAGAGGACCTGACGGAATATGCCGACATGCCACCAGCTTGGTGGGGTGATATGTACAATTTGTACCTCCGAACATGGAGTACACCACAACATGTATGTTCAGCCTCTGTTTCTTATTTAGTCTGCCGTAAAACAACGCATGCTTTGGGAGGAGACGCCAGTATAGGCGATCACCATAATTAAATAGTGTCCATGAATTGCTTTACAACAGACCTGACATGCCTTGGAAAACCACAATGAGGTTGATGCTTGAGCTTTGCAATACCTTTTGGTTCTTCAAAGGGTGATGTTTTTCAAGGGATCGTCCTTCTTCTTTTTGGTGAGTAAAGGGGACAGCTAAGCTCAAGTGAGGGAATCGCGCTTTCTACTTCCACCCAACTGTGCTCAACTTTGTGCGGGACTGTTTTGGGACGCCCTTGAAAGAACAAATTGCGGGCGCCCTGTCGGTCCAATATTGGGACCCTTTCCTCATGCCCAGACTTAGACCTCCGCCAAAACTTGCTTTGTGCCGGCAAAAATGGACATCAAGGACCCCAAAGAGCCAAGACACCAGAAGGTTAGTGAAGCCTGGCAATGCGAAACAGGGGTTTCTCGCTGTCCTTTTCGGTGGCAACGTATGCTTCAAACAGGGCGACTGGCCAACAATGGCTTCGGTCTTCTGGTTTTCCCTTGACACCATGGCAAATCAGGTCTACTCTCCGCCAGCACACACCCGAATAGGAATCTGAAGCAGCGAGGTTCCTAAAACAAGGCGAGTAGACAACAGAACTCCCACTAGATCAACCGAACTCCCACTAGATCAACCGAGCTGCAAGTAGATCAACCGAATTCGTTGGCAGTCAAAACATGTAAAACCCCCGTGCGAGAGGCCTCGATGCGCTCTTTCTCCTTCTGCTTCTGGGCTTCCAAGGTCTTTTTGGCAGCCTCCTCCAGCTCCTCGCTTCGGGGGGGGGGCTGGGGTGGGGTGGGTGGGGGTGGGGGTGGGGGGGTGGGGGTGGGGGGTGGGGGGTGGGGGGTTGTGGGGGTGGGTGGGGGGTGGGGTGGGGGTGGGGGGGGGGTGGGGGTGGGGGGTGGGGGTGGGGGTGGGGGTGGGGGTGGGGGTGGGGGTGGGGTGGGGGTGGGGGGGGGGGTGGGGGGTGTGGGGGGTGGGGGGGTGGGGGGTGTGGGGGGGTGGGGGGGTGGGGGGGGGGGCTCTATTAAAAAGACCCTTTGAGTGGAAAAACGCAGCTTGCATGAGTTGTTCCACTGATAAAGTGAGGCAAGGAACAGGGCTCCCATCTTTAATTCTAAAACATCACTCCGCCAAGAGGAAAATCGTTTTTTCAAGGTGCTGTGGTACCCTGGCATATCATAGCGCGAGTCACCATAGTCACCCCAAAGTAATGCGGGCCCCCCGATTAGAAGCTGGCTTTGCCCAACTCACAAATGAGTTCCGCCAAATTCTACAGACGCATTGCCCAATGGCAAAAAAAAAAACGACAACAACAACATATATTACTGGACCTGGAGAACTTGCTGAACTTGGCTTACAACATTAGTGTGTTCAGTGCTTGCAACTACAGTCATCACCAAACGAAGCATGATGCCATCTACTACGTGACAGCTTACCCACTCTTGGATCGCTGAAACAGAGATCACCGGGCTAGTTGTATTCGCAGTGTTGGCATCATCCCTCGTCCTGCTGCTGGGCGACGTTGTTCCCCTCGCGAATGCAAAGCAAGTCAAGGAAGACCGAAATAAGGCCCCCCCCAACCGCGTGTTGTTGACGGAACATCTGCAAACGGGAAAACCAAGGACCTGTCACTGGGTGGACATGTGGACATATGAGGACACAGGTCTTGTAGGAGACATCCCTCCACCATCCTCCGTTAATGTCGATCCGTGTTTGTGGGCTCGCCTTTTGAAACACGACAGACTTGGGTCCACCTTTTTGGTAGTTGACTTTAGCGGGACCCCCCCCTTCTCAAAAAACAAAGAAACAACAACACAAGACTAAACAATAAGAAGGACACGGGGCAGCAATGGAGGTCTGAGAATCTTTACAAGAACGCTCCTCCGACATATTCCGCCATCGTCAATCAGCTGAGAGTGCTGGCGCATGTTCAGAGCGACAGTACTCCCAAATCCAGAGACCCCTCTATGACTAGGTTGCGGCAATGGCACAGCATGGGTATGTGACAAATCAAAATGTCTGCTGGTTGGAGGTCCATAGATACCTTCATCTTATGCACTGAGAGAATTGACCCAGACTTGGCAAATTATTCGAGGTATTGCTTGAGGGGTACGGTCGGTCTGGTAGCGAAACCTTTGAATTATCATCGACAAACCATACTCGACGCTGGAATCCAATCAGAATCAAAAAAACAAAAAAAAACTCCTTCGCTAAGGCCGCTGATTCTCCCATAGACCATACAGGCCACACTGGACAGACAACTGGTTGCAATCTCCAAATAACCTGGGCGCATGGGCGCTGGCCTCGTTCCCCACATACCTGTATGAGCCTCAAGCACAAAGGTAACTACCCGGCTCAGGTCAAAAGCCCACGATCAGGGAACGCCTTCTTGCCATCCTCCAGCGCGGCTTGGCCTCCGGATTGGCCACCGGTCCCCTTGAGTTGACCATGTTTGGTCAACCAACCAGCCACTTAGACCTTCACCCACCGTCATTTTTGCCTTCGTTCTGAAGCCCGTTGGGTACATCATGGCCATATCCCACACGAGCTTTGAGCATAGCGCATTTGTGTTTGGCTCAAAGTCTGGGTCCGGGGGTTTAGCTAAACACCCACCAAGAATAAGGATTTCCGGTACGCCCGAAGATGGGCTGAACAGGTCGCTGGTTGCAATTGGGACTTTCAATCGAGTTGCTTGCGCGTCCGAATCCAAAACTTTATCTGCACTTTGTGTAGGAACTTTGGTTCAACAAACTGAAACGCTCCTTTCGATTTGAAGGTGACCCAGTTGTTCGGTGATTCCAGACTGAAGTTTCTTTTTGGGCTACCTCAGAATTTGCCAGGGGTAAATTATGCAGACTCAACTTGTGGGCGCACCTCTCAGCTTTCTCCCAGACCATATTAGTGAGTCGGGCGCCCAATCGACCAACCAAAGCCATCAAAAGTCAAAATCAAATCGAAGAACTGATGGAACCCCGGTTCGGCAAACCACTTCAGGCTGGGCACATCGCAAATCGGGTGACAATCAACAGTGAAAGCATTGATAGACATCGCTTTCTATTTGCACGTACCCTCAACTTAACAACAATCTGCAGCTCCTGCCTGCCGCAACTTGATTTGCGGTCCTGAAGCAACGCGTGCTTGATTGAGCTGTATGAGATGCATCCAGCTAAACAGTGCAATCATGGTCCATGCGCCCTCCTCCTGTTGTTATTTGTGTTTTCCTTATTATTATTATTCTTCGTCTTCTTATGCGTGCTGCCGTTGGTAGCTGCTGCTGTAAAGTTTGTTGTTGTTATGTTTGTTGATTGCTCTTTATAATGCTAACGTGTGTGTTGTTCGTACCCTTAGAGTGGTTTTAGTAGTCGCGGTGTTCCTCTTGCTATTGTTTGTCGTGTTGCGATTGTCGTTGTTGTTGCCTTCGTCCTCGTAGTTGCTGTTGCTTGGTGCTGCAGCTGCTGCTGCTGCTGTCGCTGCTACTGCTGCTGCTGTTGCTGCTTCTGTTGCTGTTGCTGTTGTTGTTGCGGTTGTTGTTGCTGTTGTTGCTGCTGCTGTTGTTGTTGCTGTTGCTGTTGCTGTTGCTGTTGATTGTTGCTGTTGTTGTTGTTGTTGTTGTTGTTGTTGTCGTTGTCGTTGTCGTTGGTTGTTGGTTGTTGGCTCTTGATTCTTGATTATT